TCAAAAGTTAGCATTTGAGTGAGTATGAAAGAAAATGACGTTAGTTTAAATGTACATTATATGAGTGTGTGTAGAACTGGATTAAAAGATGTTTATGTGCCTGTTCTTAGGAAAATTCCTACGAAATATGATTCTTATTTAAAATCGTATGAGATGAAAGTCTGTTTTATAAGCAAGTTGCCTGACTCCCAAGGTCGAGAAGCACAGAGCAAAAGGCCCATTAAACAGAGGGAAGAAAAAAGCATCAGCATTAAATTATGGGGAAGAGAAAATTGTACCTTCGTATTGGTAGAAATGATCAACTGCCACTTATTTCTAATGTACATAAAGATGCTTATCTTGTTTTTAGCTAAGTATGGATTTAGTGCAGTGGTGGGTTTCAAAATTTTTTAGAACCTCTTCTGTAGGTGTGGCCTGCTTTGTGGGAGTGGCTTGCTGGCCATGTGACTGGGTGGGAGTGGCTTGCCAGCCATGTGACTGGGTGGGTGTGACCAACTTGTAAAATGTGGTGAAACTCACTTAATAATGCTCTTGCAACCAAAATGTTGGCTCAGGAACTCTGGCATTTGAAGCACGCAAGTCTTAAAGCTGTCAAGTTACAAGATCCTTGCACCCCTAGCCCTTTAGGAAAGAAACCCCCAGGGGTGTTCAAACTTGACAGCTTTAAGACTTGTGGACTTCAACTCCCAGAATTCCTCCTCTCGCTCTTCGTCTTGATAATGTTCGGACGGGGGGTGGGTGGGAGCTGGAACCGGTTCTAAACAGCACTGTAAATTTGTGGAACCTCTTTCTATAGAAGAGGTTAGAACTGGCAGGAACCCACCCCTGATTTAGTGCAACAGTGCTGTGGATCCAGAAAATATTGACGAGGTCTTGTCAGCAAGCCCAACAGCGTGATCGTATCTACTCGTATCCTCTCATCCACTGTGGCTCTCAACCTCCAAAGAATGGCACAAATGCAAGGGTAGGATTCAGCCGGTTCGGGCGAACCGATAGCTGTGACGATCAGGTGGGAGCGAACCGGTTCGCTCCGCTGATCAGGTGGGCCCGCCCTCCCGCCCCTGTGCCTTACTTACCTATATCCTCTCAGCTGATCCACGTGGCAGAGACGATTGCTGTGCCTCCGCTCTGCAACTCCCCAGAAGTAACGCGGAAGGTAGGTTTTCTTCAAACTGAGCACACGCTTGGAGCACGCCCGAAACTCACTATCACCAAACCGATTGTTAAAACAGGCAGGATCCAGAGGTGGGTTCCTACCGGTTTGGACTGGTTTGGCTGAACCGGTAGTAATTTGGTGGCCAGGGTTGCTGGAACCGGCAGTGACCCAGGCTTGCTATGCCCTTGAACTGGTTCTCCTACGGCACTGCCATCTTGATTCCTGTTTTTGCGCCTGCGCAGAACAATTTGCATTGCAGAAATGTTATTTTTCTTCCTTTTTTAATGTTTTGCGCAGACGGAGCACGTCTTTGGTGTGCTTACCAGCAAAGTAAAACGCCTGTGCGCGAAAATTTTTGCGTGGTGAATGGGCAGTAATGCCGGCAGGATCCCACCCCTGGGGACTTGGAATGTCAAAACGGCATATCCCTCCTTCACGAGAAAATTATTTATTTAACCACGGTATCCACAATCAACCATTGGCTCCTAGTCTGCTCCTTATTGAAACCACTGGATGTGATACGTAGCTTCTAAAAGGACACATTGGTCCTTGAATTGAGCCGAAATCATTGGTGGTTCTTGTTTTCCTTCTTCTTTAGATTCGACTCCAAAAGAGTAGTCCAGCAATTACGAGCATGTGGGGTGTTAGAAACCATTCGTATAAGCTCTCAGAGCTACCCGTCAAGGTATGGCGTGACGCCTCTCGGGCTTCAAAAGGTTGACTCTCTCGTCTCCTTGATTGAAAGATTCCAATGTTCTCCTCCTTTGACAGGTGGACTTACATTGAGTTTTACAGCCGTTACAGCATTCTCATGTCTCAAAGCGAACTTTCTCTAACAGACAAGAAGCACATTTGCAAGATGGTTCTGCAGCGGCTAATCCAGGTCAGGAGTTCTCTAACTAACTATCACTAGTTGTAGGTGGGCGGAAGGAATGGCCACGAGACACTGTAATTGGCCATTTAGCTTGGCAAGCATCTAAAATGTGATTATATGACCACGGAGTGTGTGTGTGTGTGTGTGTGTGTGTGTGTGTGTGTGTGTGTGTGTGTGTGTGTGTGTTTGATGTAACCTCTCAAACAGGTCATAAATAGCTTTGGGGATGTGTGTGATCCATCCATCGTAACTTTGTTTTTCTTTTAAGATTTTTTTTAAAATTCTCTTTCATACCATTTTAAGCATACATTCACATAATTGTTATTCTTCTTTGCATTTGTCATTCTTATACATTTATTATTTCATTTAACAGGTTATAATATACAATTTGGGTTGCTTTATTTACCATCCCCTTTTTTTCCTATTGTAACACCACCTCATTTTCCCTTTCTTTTCTCCCTCCCTCCCTTCTCTACTTCCTTCCTTCTTCCCCTTCCTTCTTCCCTTCCTCCTACTCCTATTCTTCCTCTTCCCCTTCCCAACCTCTCTCCTTCTCTTCCTCTCCCTTCCACCCTCCTCTCCTTACTTATTTCTTCTTTCCCCCATCTTCCTTTCCTCCTCTCCTCTTCTCTCTCTTTCTTTTTCTATTATTGTAGGTGTCTCTTTCAG